TTACTTTTGCTGGGGGTACTCCCGGTTTTTCGGACGTCGATACTTCCTGAATTTCGGTCAATATTGTCTTCGCATTCGGTTGAACTTTCTCTTGATTCTGGCGGTACATCTGACAGGGGCCCGTTCCATTCGCTGCTGGGCGAGCCCCATCTGAGTTTAAATTACTAGCATAATTATATTGCTGGTACTTTGGATTAGGTCTAAGCTCGCCTCTTTGCTACTGGTCGTAAGCTATTGTTCCATAGCGTTTTCCAGACGGATGATGATAAGAGTCTGTATCTGGGTTATATAGCCGTCCTGCGTGTGGTCCACTGTCCTGAGGATTTTTGTAACGAGGCTTCCAATTCCTATTTTGGTTCTGTTTCCGCCCTTGAGATCGACTCTGTTGCTGTCCTTGATTTCTCTATACAAATAATTGTTGTATTTCTGCGGGTAATTCATCCCACTCATCCTCTAATTGTTCCTCTTGGTCGTTTTGTTGATCTTGAACGAATTAACATTGAGGCTGCGTAATAAATTCGTCCATTTATTAGGGTTCCACCCCCATGCCTCGCCCTTGACTTATTTCTTGTTTCTATACGCAATGCTTCTTTATAAGCATCCTCCAAGGTTTTAGGCTGTTTAATGTCCACTAAATCTCCAATTTCTTTTGGCAATCCATCTATGAAAGTCTTAATAGTTGAGTTGCACATTGAAGTCATCATCGCCTCAGTGTACTCTTCTCCGAGCTCTTCTTTCAGCGCGTTCTGCGCACAGTTCAAAAGGATGTTTATCCTATCATGAAAGTCCCCAACAGTGTCCCCTTGCTTCATACGCAGGCTATGGATTTTGGAGTCGTAGTAAGCGAAGTCTTTGCAAGGTGCGAATCGTTCCTTTAAGATCCTGATTAAGTCATCAACTGCCTTAATGGATTTTCCATAAATGCAGTCACGGGCGGGTCCTCGTAGTTTAGCAATTAGTAAGCGGACAAAATTCTGTTCCTGTGGATCTGTAATCAACGCTCTTCCATTGCGGATATCTTGGATGAAGTCTTTGAGCGACACATTTTTTCCATCGAACTCCGTAATCCCTTGTATTATATTCTGTAGGGTAAAACTTGCCGACATACTAGTCAATAACTGTAGAGTAGCCGACTCCATTTCGTTATGGTCCTAGGTCCTATATTTTTTCTTCTTTTATTTTATTTTTATTTATTTATTTATTTTTTATTTTTTTTTTAATAATAATAAATGAATAAGGCCGATAATACAATGATTATAATTTATTCAAATAATCATTATATTAACAAAATACCAATTATAATTATTAATTAATTATAATTAACAATTAATAATTTATTCGAATAATAATTACCAATAAAATACCAATTATTATCATCAATCAGTAACAATTTATTATATATATATTTATAAGTTTCTATTTTAATAATTAATTTATATTCTTCCATTAATTAATAAATAAATTATATTAATAAAATATTATTCCTAATAAATATATTATTCTTATATTAATAAATACTTTTAGTAGTAAAAGTAAAAATAAAAATAATTAAGGGAAATTTTAATAACTGAATGGTACGGGATAATGCCAAGTGTAAGTCCCCTATTACAACGGAATAAAAAAGAAATAAAATATTTCGCAAACGCGCACGTCAAAATTTTAAACGATCGTTCATAAATCAAGGGAATTTTCCTAAGCCGCGTTTGACTTTCAAATATTTGTAAGCAAAGGATCACGTTACCAATGCTATTCCGTCAACTAATCATGAAATGTGGGAACGGAAAAAAAGAGACGCACCCGGTTTCAGACGCGAACACTCTGATTACGCTTACGTGACCGAAAACGAAACTCCGATGAATTCCTGAGCGCCCGATCGTGTGAAAAAACAATTTTTCCGCGTCTCCGGCGTGGCTTTAGCTTGCTCAAAAACGAGCGTCCTATTCACCCGTATCGCGTTTCGAGATATGAGAGAAAAAAAGATTAATATTAATAATGATGAAAAAGACGGCGGATTAATTAATATGTATGAATATTAATTAATACGCGTCAATATATTAACTATGTAATACTATATATTACACACTGATCAATAATACATATATTCTAATAGTAAAGTGTATTAATACTTATTATATTAATACTCGTGCTACCCAATATATAAATAAATTTATATGGTTATTCGATAAACTATCGAAAATGTTATCAGCGCGAGGGAAAAGCGAAAAGACCAAGCCTGAAAACCACGCTCTGCTACCAATTGATAAGTGACAACTCGCGCAAGTCGAGTTTGTTCCGTACGAAGGCTCTTTTAACAGCCGAGCGGCCTTAGACTCGGACGGTAGTCAGGCTTTCGGGCACCCCGGCCCGTTCGCGCGTCAATAATGAAATTTGTGTTAATTATAATTCGATACTCGATATCGTTTTTGTAAAATAAATAATTGAACGTTTATAACGTTCTTCGCTTATTTATTAAAAGCAAAAATGTAATACCGATTCTCTTTAATATAGTGGGGAAGCATATGGATACACTTATGGATGTTTACAATTATAATATTTATTCTAGTCTCTTTCACAACATAAATTAGTTAAACAGAATAGAGATATATATATATATATATATATATATATATATATATATATATATATATATATATATATATATATATATATATATATTCTCAGACGCGTAATTTTCGCGTCGCGATGTCTAGTATTTTTTTTTGGTTACATAAAAAAAATTACTCACTTCGTATTATTATTGTAAATATAAATTGGTCCAGAATATTATTCGCTTCGTGAAATGGCCAATCACTTTTTCTTTGAATCTGATCAGATCAACTGGTCCAATATGTTTTTTTATACAATGCTGTAGTAACACGGAAGACAATGCTAGTTCCTATGATTTTAGTTGTCTAATATCTTCTTTATCCAATAGCGTAGCAACACGCAAGAAAATGATAATTCCTGTGATTTTTTGTTTACGCAAAATTATTAAAGCAATCGTACTCGACACTTCTAATATTTAATTATGACTCAAACAATTAAAAACTCAAACTTCTATTATGGTTTTAATTTCAGTAGGAAAAATATGCGGCCTTCTTAATTGAGCGCTCGCTTCTAACTGACTAATTCTCTGTCGCTCTGCTATCGCTGGTTTATTATATAGCCTTTGTCCCTAGCATACCGTCTCTCTCTCGCGCATAAGCTTCAGACGTTTACGCTTCTCGTAGCGGCTCGTCTTACCTAGCTAAGCACGCCGACTGCAGCATGCTGTCCCAGCATGCTGACGCAGCGTGAATCAGCCTCTGCCGCTCATTCCCACCGAGTCGCGCACACGAATACTGCTAGCTATACTATGTCCGAACGGAAATCCCGAAAGCAAAATATTATTCGATAGTATATAATTGTAATATAATAGGACGTCACGTAACATCCCTTCCCTCTTAGAATCGTTGCCGTCCTCGGTAACGTTTTGGGTCCAATTAGGATAGTACAAGAATAAAATAATAATATACACAATAATGATAAATAATATAAATGGTTATAAGATAATATAAATGGTCCTCATTATTCATATATGAACAAAATGATTAATGGAAGAAGGCAAAAGCTCGTTAATTCGGTCTAATTGTTACTTGCGCAACGCAAGTTGACGGTTATCGTGCTTAATCTATTATCGTAATAGGACGTCACATAACACTCACTTATATTTCACAGATATATTTAAGATATGGAGTAGAAATATGAACAAAGAGGAAGCAGAGAGATAAATGAATGAGTGTTACAATACCTGGGACCTTATAGTTGAGACATCTTGTAGATCAGGTTAAGAAATACAGAAATAGACTAGTTTAGTATTTTTCTGACCAAGTAATGTTTAATTAGGATTTAACAAAATGTTTTATGATCGTTTACAGTTGTAGTTACCAAATATGTATATAATTACACCAAAATTACGTATGGGTGTATTACGGAGGTTTGAAATGAAGTCTTTGGCTTGAATTCTTACGAACTGTCCGCCACGGCGTTTGCGAGGTTCTTATAGCTCCCGAATTTCGTTAATTTTTCGATATTTGCAGTTTTAAGTAGGTCTTGCTTGCTACACCGCAATTTGCAGAGTACGACATTAGTTTGTCGTATATCTGTTTGTGGCAAGAGTTCATAAGAGTACAATGATTTTTTGCTGACATGTACAGAATTTAAGTTTCTTTAAAAGTTTGAATTTCGGAACTTTATAATACAAGTCAAGAGACGTCGTAAGTCATAACAATATATCTTGCTTGTGAAGGAACGTATCATTGAAATTGAACTGCATGCCAAAAATTCAAAATATATTGATAAAAATTTTACTCCGAAAATCAAATAGCTCATAACTATCACTATCTATTACAGAGAATTTCAAACTGGAAACAATCTAGCCATCGAATATAATAGATCCAAAAGCCTAATCAGACATAGAATTATTATGCTGAGAATAAACAAAACTTTTATTAGTTAGCAACTTTAAGAATATACAAAACTATAATTTTAAAAAGTCACAGACATGTATCTCTTAAAATATTTCCAAAATTCAGCAGTACTAAAAAGAATCTAAACACGAAGAATAAAAAAAGCAGAGAAATTGAAGGAAAAATGAATAAAGGCAATAAGGAGACACTATTAGAAATGAGTGTTTTACACAAAGATAGATTGCTGAATGAAATTGCCATTGTGCAATAATTTATGTTTTTAACTTTTTTCTTTTTCTGTTTCGATTTTTATATATTATGTATCATGTATCATCTTGTGTACCTCTGTACGTTTCGCTATTTAGTAAAAAAATGACGAATTTAAATAAATAAATAATTAATATAAGTTAAATTCTTGTGAGTGATATTTCCAAATTTCAATCATTATTTAGACGTTTCAGCGCAGAAGAAAATATCGATCTTTGTCAAATGGTCATACATACATACGCTCATACGCACATATACATATATCACAGAGTAGAAGCCACTTACCTGAAATTCCCATTGAGAGGGCATAACTTCTGCATTACTGCCTGAAATATTGACCCCAGCATATAGACAAGCACGGTAATGAGCCTCTACAATTTCACGGCCAATTACTCGATTAGCTCCAACGCCACAATAGTAAGGTCCTTGTGGCTCAGGGAAACCATTTTTGGGCCAACCTAACGGTCTACCATCCATATCTAAAAACGTGTACTCTTGCTCTATACCAAACCAGGGTTCCTCAGCTTCAGCTAACTTTATCGCCTCGGCCAACGCGGCTCGTTTATTCGACTTGGTAGGACTCATATCTGAAAGATATGTATCACATAATACGAGAATATTATTACCGCGACGGAAGGGATCTCTATAGATAGCTTGTGGTAACAAATAAATGTCGCTATTGCCACCCTCTGCTTGATATGTAGAACTGCCGTCGTACTGCCATCTAGGTAATTCTGCAATTTTCATTATTAACGTTTATAATAATAATTATTCTTAGCTTATTATTATCAGACCAGTAATATTAAGGATCACCTGTTGCCGTTTTCGGTAAAAAATCAAGAGTTCTGGTTTTACTTCGAATGCCTTCTCCGGTTCCATCAATCCATATATATTTTGCTTGAATTTTTTTTTCAGGCTGCGGTAAAGAATAATACCTATCCAATAGAGTCTTATTTAATGCTGCATTTGGCGAATCTTCAAGAGCAGCTTTGAATATAGTGTTAGTTGAGCTGTCAATTTATAATTAATATATTTGTTATAAATGCATTTGATTTTCAAATGATTCTTTACATAATTACTTTACGATAAAAAAAGTTCAAGATAAAAGTCATGACAGAATTAAATATTTCAGTATTTAAATATTTCCAACAATAATCTTTGTAGATTTGAAAACCGTAGTATTAAAATCTAAAAATACTATATCTTAGGTAATAACAAACATACACACTTCAACAGAAACTCTTGTAAAATACTTTTTGAATTCTTTCAAATGGTATCTTTCACAACTATACAAGATATAAAGGGTATAGAAAAAATAATATAATCTTATAATGGTTGGTTATATACAGAGATGATTTAAGGACGTTCAAGGTAACTCGTCCCTCGGTATGAGGCTAACCGCCGACCCGATAAGCTTCTGGTATGTACAATGTTAGTGAGCATACGTTTCGTGTGGCTGAAAACGAGAGCGTAAGCACGAAGAAAAATTGAGAGACAAATAAGAACAAGTTAAGATTTTTTACTGCGAGCGTTGATTAGTAAATTCTTAAACAGGCAAATATAAAACATAACATGATTTATAACATAAAGAAAAAGATGACTTCATTGTTCCTTTCGGCGACAATATTCTACATCATTTCTTAGTCGAGAGATTTGGATGAACGCAAACGCAAACAAAAACATCTACAAGCCGATGCACTTGTTGACTGCTACGGGTGGGAGAGAGATAAATAAAACAAATTGATCGCGAACTATCAGTGTAAACAAAACCAAAAGAAATTCGTAAAATTATTATTTTTTATTTACCTGGTGGCTGCTGCAATCAACGATACCGGTCAGATTTTATAGACACTCGAGGCTTGTTGATGCTTCTCCATGACTCACCGGTCTTTCCGTTTGACTCGTGGCGTCCGGAGAGAGACAGCCCGGACGACGACTTTTTTATATTTGTAGCACCGGCCATCGAGTTATCAATGAATGCATTTTAGTCTTCCATGAACTGTGTCATCGCGAGGATACATCAATGAAGGATCGATTTTTTTTTCCTTTTTCTTCTCCTTGTCGGTCTTAGTAATACTAGCTGTCACCTAGTCACGTGCTGCTGTCTCTCTTCCACCGTGTTCCTCATGTTTCTCTTTCGTGCACTCCCGAATTTTCTGCCGAGTTCTCTCTTACGTTTGCATACACTGTTATCCGTCGCAATCGCTCTTTAGTATACATGCGCGTTTTAATGAATCCTTATTCTTTAGAACCCCCTTTAATCTAAGAAGGAGCTCCTACGTAGACGATCTTGTAAGAGAAGCGTGCCTATTTATGATGAGAAAGAAGACATGTCTGAACTCTAAATTAAATAACGCATGTTCCGTGGCATTTCCATTATTCTGCCGGGACAGCTCCGCCGGGGAGAACTACAGACGTTGGCCTCTCCGACTGCCCTTGGATAAGATTAACAAATCTCATTTGGAAGATATGATAAATCTACATCCGGTCGTCGTATTTCCTCTCCGAGACCTATTCTCATAAATAAAGTCAGGATAAAAAACTCGACCAGGATAAACAACATGGATTTGGCGTCATCCATCGAGAGTCCATGATATGATTACTTTGGTGTCGTCTCGGCGGAATGGCATATCCAGAGGCTGGATAACACTCCAGAGTCCACGCCTGGGTAAGCTAGAAACTCGTTGAGTCTCCGGAAGGAACTTGGAGCGCTGCAGGTGGAAAGAAGGAAAGCTCACATGTTCTTGACCTGCTAGAGCCCTCTCTCCAATATTACTTACTAATCTATACACGCACAGGCACTGTGACATCATCCAACGAAATCTGAATCAGTTTCTACAGAGCACACCCTAAAGTTTTACCGGTCGCGATTGTCAGTGACTTGAGTTCCACTCACTTCATAAACGAGTCCTAAAAAACCATCAAGTAGTTGTAGTGATTCTTAATTCAGAGTAGCTCAACAACATCCGTTGCAATAACTATCCACGGGTGTTCATCTACCTGCTTGATCATCAGGCCTTTTGGTTTGTACCGGCACCTTGGCATTCAGAATATGATTGCAAAAAATAATGCACGTCATATCACATGCCCTTCCAGAATCACTCGTGTGCAATGCAATTATACGTTTTCTCACGTTCGAAATGACCATTCGACAGCTCGCAATGAGCATCCTGCATGACACATTAAAGAAAGAGGATGTCATCTCCTCTCACGATCCTGGTGCCTCTCCAATTGGTTCCATAGTACCGGAGGTCACGAAGATCGTACATCGGCCTATCTCGGAGATAGCGTTTATACTCTAGGTTCAACCCCGTTATTACCAACCGCACTTTTTGTTTATCGGAACACCAAATTAGCGTCAGCGAGCCTTTCGTTCAATCGGCTGCATGTCCTCTTTCGTCACACCCCCCAATGACTTGAGTACATACTCGTACCATGACACCGGTGATGGCACCATCGGTGGTACGCCCTTTCATCTTTACTGGTAGAGCTTCTAGTGATTGACTCCTCGGACCCAGGCCTTTATCGCGCTACTCTTGCCACACTCGTTAAGTCCGACAACGAGATCGGTAGAGTCGGAGCTCCAATCAACGATAGCTGTCGCTTCTCCTCAAACTCGCTTGAGACAGCAAAATGTTGTCACCATTCACGCACGAGCTTTTGAGGGCATTTGCGTTTGAGAGAGGCAGAATCCGATAACCACTCTTTTCACTAAAGGTCTGCTCCAGCACTTACCGATTGCCTGGAAGATCGAGGTAGTATAGGGAAGGGTTGCTTTACTGACACACTTTCGACGGCGCCACGATTGCAGGACCATAGCCGAGGACTTGTAATACCGCCATCACCTGCTGTAAAAACAACGGATCAAGTGGCGGCACTGGCACCGTTGGGGCTGAGATACCCACAGCTTCTCTCCCAACGCCAGTATCCTCCCTGTAACCCTCCTGAGATCACCTAGCGGCCACCATGGAGTCCTTCGAGATCTCGCCTGAGTTAGAGTTGGTCGAAGCGTTCTTATTTCCCTCCCCAATAATGGTATGGTTGGCATTATCCACGCTGGGTACCGACCCAACCATAGAGGGAGAACCTACCTCTGTACAGTAAAGCTCAGCAAGAACTTGCCCTCGTGGGGCGGAGAACGCAATTGGAGATCACATGTGTTCAAACTACGTGCGTAAGCGTTGGTCCCGTCCCACGTTTTCTACCTCACCATGAAAGGGCTTGGATAAGTTCCTCGACAAAAAATTGAAGGGGTAAAGAGATGCCTCGAAGCCGGACCGCGCCGACGCCATGAACACGCGGAAAACGCGATCCTAGAGTATCACAAATTTACTATCGGAGCTCAGCCTCTGAGCACGCATATGCTCTATCAGATTCTCTCACAAGATCATAACAATACGAGGGGGGGCATCGAAATCATACAGAGCGACAATTGCGATATCATCACTTCGCGATCCTAAATAAAAACGAAAAACGGGTGCTAACAACATATTATTGCAACCGTTTTGCAAATTCCTACTTGCGCACTCGTCGCGCTATCCCCACCAGGGATGCCATGTAGCGGAATTGATCAAACCAATAATTTAATTAAATTCTTGCTCGCGGTCGTCAGTACAATATTTAAAATAAATGAGTGTGTAACCAAACGTGTGTGTTAGTAGTGAGCGAAATAAAGGAAAAAAGGATGCGAAAAAGGATTAACTCGAAATGACAATCGTGAAGTATCAACAATGATTCATTTCTAATCCCAGAACAACTAAAAGAAAATAAAAGAAAAAAATACATGTAATTACTTGGCAAAGTACGCTCATTCCGTCTAAGTTCAAACGGCGGCCTAATACATAAAATCTATTCAATCGGATGATCTACACTGAGACTTGATAATCCAATTGAGCCGTAATTGCGCGCGAGATTTCAGACCCGGCATAGGGGCCAACAATATTGTCAGGCCACACGCGTGCGCGTATACCGACTTCCGAGCAATGCAAGAGAGAGAGAGAGAATAATCAGCACTGACCTCAACCGCTGCTGCCGATACTCCGCCACTAGCTAAGCCTGTATCACTACTTCGCTCCTCTCGCCTTTCTTGGTGATCCACTCCACTACTGCACGCCGAGACTGTACGGGTATTGCCGGTACAGATTTCATTGGTGAGACTGATGCGTACCGGTCGCGCGGCGAGAAAGATTAGCTGGGTGCGACCCAGTCAATTACAAGCAATCCACAACCAAAATTTGCTTACACACATACGCACACATGATGTGCGTATACTCGTAAAGATGTGACGAATCTCCGCACTTCTTGCTGAGTCAAGACTGCGAGAGTTGTCAATCTCCGTCCACCTTGGGCTCAACTCTATAAAATTATTTACGGGTTCTATCGGTACAGAAAGCTGGTGCTGATCTCTCAGGCCAACCGATCGCTCCGGCGTACATGACATAAATAAATCTAACAATAATTAAATTACACTAGGCGATCACTTTTATTAGGATTCATAAACAAATATGCTTAAACTATATTACTCCGACATGTGGGTGAACGAATCCGCTCAGCCTGAACCACGATAAATTTCAGCGGAACATGCGAACGAATCCGCTCAGCCTGAACCTCGATAAATTTCAGCGGAACATGCGAACGAATTCGCTAGGCATACGCGTTATTTAATTAATAATTTAATGAATAATAAAAGCTAGATGTAATTTATCCGCGGTCGTGTAGACAAGCGGGAGCTGGCATAAGAGAAAATACAAATGCTTATGAGACATATCCATAGCGGAGAGGCAACGTCGGCGAAAGCGAAATCCCGTTAGCAGAGGCATCTGCACGATGACCTGATGATGATGCGATACACCGGCTTGGACGTGAATTGGCTCTATCCTCCGTCATCCTTAGTCCAGTCAGATAGTCTCAGATGCTGGCATCGATGTCCTGACTCTGCGTTGAGGTTGCTTATGGTTTCCTGAACTAATCGGTCACTTTCAATCTTTTCGCTCAGCTTGGTCAAAAGAAC